CTTTATATTATATTCCTCCTTGTTTCTCTTTATAGTATGTTCCTCCTTGTTTCTCTTTATAGTATGTTCCACCCTATTCTAGTTATAGTATGTACTGAACCACTAAACTATACCTATTATAGTTTACTAGTATGTTTGTTTTGAACTGTCTCTGAACCACTAAAAGTAATCTAATAGAATTTCACGTTTTATGCTTAATAGTGCTTTACCGGCTAAAAAATTTCGGGTTGTCACACATACCCTACACAATCCATATAATCACATAATCATATTAGCTATAAAAGCGACATAAACCTCATAAGCCATGCATACAACATATAGGGATGTCGTGGGCTCGTCCCCAAGGTCTTACTCTAGGATGTCATAAGCTCTCCACATGGCCTTACACCTAAGTGTCATGGGCTCTCCCATGGTCTTCAATAGGAAAGCCATGGTCTTTCCACATGGTCTAACATCTGGTTGCCATGGGATCTCCCATTGTATTTAGTAGGAAAGCCGTGGGCTCTCCACATGGTCTTACATCCAGGTGTCATGGGCTCTCTAATGGTCTTCCATACAAACATACCACATATACAACTAACATACTTCCTAGCACCTACCCAACTATCATGCCTCATAATATAACTTCAGTTAGTGTACCAGATATCATAAAATGGGCCGGCCTTGGTGCCTTTGACCCATTGGTAAGGTGAGTAGACTCACCTCTCAAGAATGTTGAACTGCTAAGATTGGATAAGTCCCAACGCGGAACCCCAACTCAACTGCATGTAACCATCATGTGATTAACTTATCAAAATCCGGAATACCATAAATTCCCTCAAAGCCAACCCTGGTCAAAGTCAAGGTTAATAGTCAAGGTCAACAGTCCATGTTGACCTCAACTCGTCGAGTGCATCTAGCAACTCACCGAGTTACTTAAGTAACTCGTCAACTCGCTGAGTTACCCGAGTAACTCTTCGAGCTCCTTAATATCCAAGGGCTGAAAACTCTAAACCGAAATCTCATAGCTGAAATCTCCTAATCAATTCCCCGAATCACTCTGGATCGCGAAAACAGGAAAACCCTCCCGAATCGTCGAGTTGGCTATGGGACTCAACCAGTTCCTTCAGTCCTTTTGTGTTCAGATGTTTTTAAGCCACCCCAAAGCTCCAAATTGCAGATCTAGCCTCCTAAGGTATGGTTTCCACGTAAAGTTGCAAACTTTACGTGCATGCAAACTCTTAAATGCCAAAAGCAAGCTAATAGGGGGGGGGGGGGTTAGCCAAAGAGAAGGGCCAATGCTTGATAAATTAAGTGAATTTATAACTCTAAGGACTTAGAGGAGTCTAGATCTGAAGTTGCAACTCCAGATCTTATCCATTACCTGAAATGCTTCACCAATATACTAAAAATGGCCTAAAACTCAAGGAAAAGGGGATCTAATGCCAGAATGATCAAGGTAACAACTTGTTACCTTCAAATGGATTCCTAAACACTGTAGATGTTGGATCTACAATCTCCTTCCCATTCCAAACTTCTCAACCTTCAAACTTTTTCAACAAAAGGCACCAAAATCACGTTCTTATTCTTACAAGCACAAGGAAGAAACAAAGGACGACTAGTGTTTCTTCTCTGGGTAATGAAGTGATAAGGGAGGCCAAAGGAGGCATATTAAGTCCATTATATATGGTGCAAACCCTAAAAATTAGGGTTCTCCTTTACAGCTCCTATTCGCCGGGTCAGGGCCTTCTGACTGATCGAGTAGGATCTAAATCCCGCATCCTCATAAATAACCTCTACTTGACGAGTTGGAGCTCACCAACTCGTCGAGTCCAATCATAAAACCCTAAAACTTAAAAATTTAAATGATACCTAGAACAGGTGTACAAATCTCCCCCACTTAAACTAGACTTCGTCCTCGAAGCCTACTATCATGAGTAAATCCAGATAGTGATCTCGCATCTCCTCTTACGGCTCTCATGTCCATTCAGAGCCCCTTCGATGATGCCATTGAACCTTTACTAGCTTCACTTCCTTGTTTCGAAGAAGCTTGGTCTTCCTATCCAAAATCGCAACAGGCTTCTCAATGTTGTCTAGAGAAACGAATGTGGCCTCACCTGTGACACACTTCCAGAGCTGAGACACATGGAAGTGTTGTGTATCTGGATAAGCTCATCCGGCAGATCCAAGTGGTAAGCCACCTAGCCTACCCGGGCAGTAATCTAGAATGGATCAATATATCCCGGCTCCAACTTGCTTCTCTTCTGAAACCTAATGACTCCCTTGATGGGTTTTGAGCACTATAACATTCCTATGGTGCACATATAACCCTAATGTTTTGGATCTAATTTTTCTCTAATTATATATGCAATATTCTTTTACCAAATCATTAAGCCTAACTAGCATACAAAATTTGATATTTGAATCATAAAAAACTAGTTAGATGATTACCTCTTGTTGTAGCTTGTAGAAGTTGGCCTTTCAAGATCTTAGCACCTCAAGTGTGATGCCTTAATGTTTCACAAAACACCACCAACAATTAGGTGACAATAAGAGAGAGAGAGAGAGAGAGAGAGTAGGAGGCACCAAAATCGGCTAGCTTCTTCTTGGAATGCACAACTCCCGATTTTAGGGTTTAGGGTTACATTTACAGTGTAGAATTCCAAGGGTCACTTGTAAACCCTTATTCTTACACTGAGGCTTATAATCTAACAATTTAGTTGGACTAACACTCCATGGACTATCTCATAAGCTTAGCCCGTCACAAATCAATCATGAATCATTAGCCCAAACCATATGTATCACTGATTTACATAATCAATCCCCGATAATTTAATCAGTCTCTTTTGATCACTAAATTAATTCCAAATTAATTCTTGATCAATACTAATTAAATAATATAATTTCTCAATTAATATAGTATACTTATAATATATTAATAAATCACAAATAACCTCTTTCGCAAATATTCATCCTATCAAATTGTTCAGGTGAATGTAACCCAAAATGAACCATGCTACTATCGGGTCAAGTACATACCAATTATAGTTATGGGCTTAGACACCTAATCCAACAATCTCCCACTTAGATAAGTCTAATAACTATAACTGCAAGTATGAATTCAAAAACCGACTAGCAATCGTAGCTCTCAAAAGTCGTTGTCAACTCTAATCAATAACACGTCCTTTAGATAAGGGATCGTATATTCCTCCATTCTTCAAGATATATGGACTGAGACATGGATTATAGTCATTCTCTCTGTCCATGTGTTGTTTCCCAACTTCCAATTTATGATGCTGACAACAGACTACATTAAACTCATCAACTTAGTCACCTTCTTGGAACAAAGCATGACTCGCCTTCTTGATTTAACCATTTCAACAATTTCCGATACCTATTCTTAGTCATGTAAATGCACTAAGGTGTAATTTGAGGATCAATTCTAACATGGTTCCATAATCATTAGGATGATCATAAAACATGATACTAAAGTATTCTCCTTTCCTTTCAGATTGGAGAAAACTTTTATCTTTCTGCCTAATTGATTCTTCTTATTCGTTCTCCTATACTTTGAAATTTTTCAAGGTATTAGAATTACACTTAATATTGTAAGTATAACCATATTTCCTAAACTTTTAGTGAATTATGACGAATAGATTTTATCATTCTTTGTGGTGGATATGACTTGTACACATCAAAATGTACTAGATCCTTTAGTCCTTCACTTGATTCACATACATATGCGAATAAGGAATTAGTCTCAATTTTCCCAAGTACCAAGATTTTCATACATCATATGATTCAAATCACATGATTCCAATTTTTTGTCCAATTAAAACTTGGGCAATGAGAATTTTTCCTTACATAGAAAATTACGACACTACCACAATCGATATAACTAAGAATCAAACCATTTTCAATATTGTTATTAATAGAAACATACAAACAACAATTTTTCACAAATGTCATTGCAAGGAAACATAAATAAGATAAAATCAAAATTTTCTTTATTTATAAAAATGCAGAAAACTTGTCCTTGCAATGCAAATTTAAATGAAATCTATGTTACTAAATATTCCTAAGAAATCTATCATAACTCCTAAGCAGCAGCTCAAAAATCCGATCATTGAACCATGCGATCGAAATACATTTCTTCGCGATTAGACTCAACTCACTCTTCCTTTAAGCTTCATTTCCTTTCTTTGATCCAACAAAACATCAAAATGCAATATTATCACATCATGTATCAAGAATCTACAAATTGGAACTTAATAGAGTTAGATAGTGGACTTACCTGAAGCAGAGTCATACATTTTGACTTTACCATCCTTGTGATCCTTCAAGTAGATATGGCAGCTTCGCATCAAATGCCCCTTCTCTTGGCAATAGAAACAAACATACTCTTTTGGAATGGTACATGGGACAATCTCAGACTTAGCATTTCTCTTTACCATTTGATCAAACGGTTTGACCTTGGCCGATCCCTTTCCATTAGGAAGAGATAACTTTTCTGTACTTCCAACGTTGCCATTGTCAATGTCCATGGAAGTTTGGGAGATTGATCTTCCAATTAAATTTGCTTGACCAATGCACCATATCATTGCTGATTTAGTAGCATTTAGCAAATAGGTAAGATCGATAAGGGTCACGTCGTGCTCAGTCATATAGTAATCTTCAACAAACTGACTATGTGACTCGGGAAATGACTGAAGAACCAAGTCAACAACCAACTTCCTTGGGAAAATGATACCCAACATTCCTATCCCATCAATATGCAACTTCATCTCCAAGACGTGAGCACATACAGACTTTCCATCTTCGTGTTTACTGGCCACTAGGGCTTGAGTGACCTTGAACTTTTCAAGTCGACGAACATGTGGGTCAGGGAGAATTTTTTGAGGAGGTGGAGGAAATGAAGTATAATTTCCAGTTCCTCGATCGAAATGTGGAACATCATCTTCATGAGGAAAACTTTTTCCAAAAAGATAAAGAATACCATAGTTGTCAAAATTAGACATCTACAAGGGGAGAAATTCAAGTAAGTTGATTTAATCATTAATTAGAAAAGAGCCCATGCTTTGCATGGGTTAGAAATAATTTAGAATTTTCCAAAAAAAATTGGCTCATTATCATTTATAAATAAACTATAATCAATTTATTTCCATATAAAAGTGACTAAAATGAATCTAAAGTTCTAATTGTTTTGGATGTCAAAGGATCCAAAAGTATCCTCATCATCATTATGGTAACCATCTACACAACCATCTAAGAGTAATCCATTTTAGTGTCCATGCCAATTCATGTGCTGGCTTCCCATCATTTGCTAATTCTGATATATGTTCCTGCCATTGAAGTAGAATTGAACCCAAAACCAAGGGTATAGAGAGAGGGACATATATGCCTTCACTATACCTTTCTCCTTTCATTCAATGTAGAAATTTCTCAACTATAAACATAATAATATAAAACAATAAGACGATGATTTTTTAGCAGTGAATGGATATAAACAAAATAGAAACGGGTATATTTGAGTCTATTTTAATTTTATCTTGAACATAGTTATATACAATAAGAGTGAATACATACACTTCCTAAATTTGAAAAATAAAGTATGTTTGTCCAATTCTATTCCCAAAAGAACAAAAAATACTTTCATCAACTTGTTTATAATATCATTTTATTTCTAATGTTATACTTTTAATATGTTTTACAATATTCCCTTCCATTCCATCCAAGGGTATTTATGGAAAGAAAAAAAACTAAACGGGTGATGCAACAGTTAGAAGGCTATCCACACAACACATCATGTATGTATATAAAAAACTATGTAAGCTAATCATGGTGAACAATAGTAAAAATTACCTATAGTCTTTGACTAGAAATGGTACCTTGTAGGTAATACCCCATTTTTGAAGACGATCTATATTAACCTACTACACCCAAAGAAAGACAATAATGAGAAAAGATAATGTAATTGGAAACTGATTTTAGGTTTTTTTTTGTTAAATAATAGAAAGATACTCTTAATAAGGTACACAAAGAACTGATCAAATTTTTATTACATACCAGATCAAAAACTCCAGCCTATTTAGTATAAATATGGTTTCTTACATTATACCCTGCTTATAAATCCAATAAAGAGAGTTTAACTAACCTTATTACAATATGCTATCCAATGTTATCTACAAATAGGAAAAACCAAAAATAAATGAAAAATTTAGTGATCGAATTATAAAAAGTACAAAAAGTGTAAGATTAGTCCATTTACTCCTTTTTTGCGTGATTGTTATCAGAAAGGGTAATATTGTCAATTGTGAATATAGGTCAATTACGTGCTTTATCTAGATATTTTAGTGTTTTAAATTATTAAAAGATATTATATTTTAAATAAGCTGAAATAAAAAAAATATATTATAAATGATTAAAGCATGAACTCGAAAACGAAATCCACCTGTAAAAGCAAAAAGATCAGGCTTCCCAGCATCAATCATCCGATTTAGAAATAAAGTAGTGTTATGATTAGAGCACCATTCAAACTCAGAGCTCAAAACATCTCTAAACCTAGTCAATCCAGTTCCATAATGCATATCAGCAACCTAATCAACACATACAACCAATTATTTTCATTACTTAATAAACCTTGAAAAGTCTGACATGAATTTGAAGTTTAACCTAAAGGATCTTAAAAGTGCCGTTAGAATCGAAGCTTAGAGTGAGATTAGGATGTTTCAATGAAGTGTTAATTATATACATTGATTAATTTTGGAGCAAAGCATGTTGTACTCAGGGCAAGTCAAGAATTAGAAAGTAAAAATACAGATAATGATAGGAGAAAAAATCAAAAGATAATGAGAAATGTGTAAACTAACCCTCATATTTTTAAAATCAATATCAAAAAGATCCTTGACCTGCTTTTCATGCTTTAACCACTGAGTCTTGACCCTTCAATCTTTCTTAATGTACATGCCCAACATTAGATATATGTCACCATGTAGAATATATTAGGCACACATACAACCCCAAATGATGGCTGCAACACTATACTTCTAATGTAGTGAATAGAATTATGAATGATGAATAGAACCTGTGTTGAAATACAGAGAATATCAGCCAGTTGTATTTTTCCAGATCACAACCTATAATACAAACATTTAGACATATGTTGATTTAACATTTCAAGACCTATAAAACATACTCAATAGTCAAGAATTACCATAAAGTTATAAAGTTATGGCAATAAAGCTCAAAATCAGAATCCATACATGTAACACTCAAAGTAAAAGTCTATTCTAATCATATACCTGGAACAACTTTCAATTGAGCCTCTTGTTGAAGAAAATAAAAAAATCACTTGGTAATGGTTTATAGAATCTAGTGAACAGACTAGGGATAAGGGTGTGTAGTGAAGTGTCTCTCCACATCCAATACCTGTTGATTTCATGAATTGCAGCGAAACTCAGAACGAATGCATATCATTTTGATTTGATCACTAAAAGATTATAAATGCATAATATAATCTAAAAACATATAACAATGATTGAAAGCATTAGCTTGTAAAGTAGCTAAGCCCTAAATACCTGTTGGAATAACCAAAATGGAAAAAGCAGCAACAAATTCATTAAAACTCAAACCCTAGTTCGCAGGTCCATTTCAATCAATTTTCTGGCCATTCAACGCCTTCAACTTCTTGAACAAAAGATAATCCCATATTTTGTACCTTAAATTAAGTAATTTTGGAATTTTGGAGGAAAAGGGCTTGAAATTAAGTAGATATGAATGCAAACAGCTGTAATGAATTGATAAAATCAAAATAGAAACGGAAGGAAAACTATTAGTAGTCACAATAAAACTTGTTAGGGCTCGTAACTAGAAAGATTAAATAAATAATATATGTTAGACGTCGATGCAGATGTGGACAAACACCGATGATGGTCGGCGGTATAAATGGTGATGGTCATAGTTAGAGGCGGCGTACAGTTTGTTATTGGTGATGTGAATTAGGGTTGTCTTTCTTTCAGAGAACACAAAGATGGAGAAAAAGCAATGGTTGAGTCGGAGGAAGACAACAATTTGGGTTTTTTTCATGTGTAATTTGGAATAGGAAATCGGAGGCCGAATGTCGCCCCTACCTCTCCTCAAATAACCCACCGCCTCTCCTCATCTTGGTTATTCTCTAACACCCACCACATCTTCCATCTGAAAACCCTACATATATCATGACTCCTTCTTCGACTCACCTACCTATCGCCCCTCCCTCTTTCTCTCTATCTTGCTTTATTACAGAAAGAGACACCGAGAAACAGACATAGTCGAGAAAGGAAGCAGAAAAAGAAGTTAATGATAATTCCAATTTTATTCATTAAATGAAAAATCGGAGTGGGTAGTTGGGGGAGAAAGAAAAGTCACACAAAGCATACAGAGGGATCGAAAGTATAACAAAATAGAAGAAGAAAGACGATGGCGGTGGGGAGGAAGTGTAACACCGGGTTTCTAGGTTAGCCATTAATATTGATTTAATAATCTAGGTTAACCCTTGTAATTCTTTTTAGAGTATTAATGATGAAATATTTGAGTATTATGTGAATTATATGAATTATGTGTTTATTTTCTTAATTATTATAATTTAATGAATTAAGAATAAAATAAGCATCAAATTTAAAGTATGAAATAAGCCCGATATCTTTGCATAAAGATGTAGTGGTCGAAACAAGGATTCCGAAGATATAAAGAATGCCGAAATCCGAGTTATAACGAAGAAGTTATGACCTGTCGAAGTTTCGCGACAGAACCGACAACGCTGAATGACGTAAAAAGTGAAATTTATGTTAGAGCGATATTTAGCCTTAGTGATCTAAACAAAAGTCATATAGTTCGTTAAACCGAGAGCATGCATAAAAAGAATGCCCAAATCTGACTTTGTATGAGGAAGTTATGGTTTTTCTAAGTTTCGACTTAACAGTATGCAGCCCGAATACTCGATTTTAGACCGAGCGGTTTTTAGCCGAAACAATCTAAACGAGAATCGAAGATCTCGTTAATTGTAGTGAAACGATGAAAAGATAGGCGAAAACGGACGTCGGATGAAGAAGTTATGAATTTATAACGGAATTTTCCTGTCCCGGCCTACTAAAAATAACTAATAAAAATAAAATTCAAAATTAGCCGATGGAGTTTAAACGAAAGTTGTAGAGCGTAGTCTCGCCTATGCGTGGATATAAAGAACGTCGAAAACGGAATTCGTATGAAGAAGATACGAATTTTCGAAGTTTATTAAATAATTAAAATTTAAATTTAATTAGTAAATCCCGATATTATCCGAAGGAGGGGGGGAGTCATCGATCTGATCCGAACTATGCCCAACGTACCCCGATGCATGCACTGCTCGGACTCGAGTGCTCCGATGACGTATGCAGTGACGATCCGAGGCATTACGCCCCGCGTAGAGCATTACGCCATGCGTAATGCGAGGCCTCGGCCTCCAATATAAGGCTTGCGAGGGTAGCCGATATTTTAGCTCTTTTTCTCTTCTCTCTCTCCCGTTTTGCATCATTTTTCGTGCAAAAATTATCCTGAAGCCCCGGTATCATTCCCGAGCCCCGAAGCAAGTCTCGAAGCCCCGAAGATCCCGAAAAGTGCAATTCCCAAGTTGAAGCTCTGCCCGCGAGGAGTCCAGTTTTTGTGAAGATCTGCTGAAGAATACTACTTCTACAAGTTGTAGTGTTGTCCGATCATCTTCTGATCAAGTGAGTGTGTGGTTACTTTCTTATAATGCATAATTATGAAGTATTTTATACGAAATATGTGTTATGTGTATATTTTGTTGTTATATGTGTGAATGTATATTCACTTTCTTCTATCTCATAGATATGATCTATTCTCTATGAAATACGTGTTATGTGTATGTGTCCCATATGTTGTTTTGAATATGTATTGAATGAGAATGCTATACAGGCTTTAAACTATTTATAAAAATATATATTTTTATCTACTAATATGTCGGGTAGAACATGGGTAGATAGTTTACGTGTGATAAACAGATGAGAGGCCTCGATGTTGTTTTTGATTCAGTCATCTAGCGGAGTTTAGATGACGACCGCAGACTTTTCTAGATAGTCCTGTGGAACGCTAGCAGGTTCTCCACCTGTAGGTGTTAATGAACTTGGGTGTTCATTCGCTATACTCCATCCCCCTCATGGTTGCCTTATTTGACATATATTGTCGGGAAACCCCCGAATGCATGTGTTGTCACTCCGATAAAATATTCTAAGACTAGGTCCCTTGTGTTAGTTGTTTTAGGGACGTAAAGTGAGAATAACGGGAATGGGTAATTGGGTTATTGTTGGTTGATGAAAATTAATTTAATCATTTATTGTGGGTTGAAAACCCTATATGCTCACCAGGCTCCCAAGCCTAACCCACTCAGTTTATTTGTATTACAGGATGTGGCGCAAGGGCATAAGATGGATGAATCATCAAATTGTTTTATTTACAAGTTTGTATATGTATATATTTGTTGAATGACTTGTAATGTTTGACCAAGGGATGTACATCATATCTAGCATTCGTGATTGATGCTAAGAAGGAAAAGAAGGTGATGCAGAGTATTCCAGTGGTGTGTGATTATCCGGAAGTATTTCCCGAAGATCTTCCTGGGTTACCACCTAATAGACAAGTGGAGTTTAGAATAGACTTGCTACCAGCAACCACGCCAATAGCAAAAGCACCTTATCGATTAGCACCAACGGAGATGAAGGAGCTGATGATGCAACTTCAGGAGTTATTGGACAAAGGTTTCATTAGACCTAGTTCATCACCCTGGGGAGCTCCAGTGTTATTCGTGAAGAAGAAAGATGGAAGTATGAGAATGTGCATCGATTACAGAGAGCTGAATAAGGCAACAATAAAGAATATATTTTTTTTGATGAGGATTGATGACCTATTCGATCAACTACAGGGTTCAAGTTATTTTTCGAAGATTGATCTAAGGTCAGGATATCATTAGCTGAAGGTAAGAGAACAAGATATTGAGAAGACTGCATTCAGAACTAGATATGGACACTACGAGTTCTTGGTTATGTCGTTTGGACAAACCAATGCACCAGCTGCATTCATGGATTTAATGAATCGGCTTTGTAATCCATTCCTTGATAAATCTGTGATAGTGTTCATAGATGACATTCTGATTTACTCGAAAAGCCAAGAGGAGCATGGCAGACACTTGCGAGAAGTGTTAGAAGTCTTGAAGAAGGAGAATCTGTATGAAAAGTTCTCCAAATGTTATTTTTGGATTCGTGAAGTCCAATTCTTAGGTCACGTGGTCAACCAAGAAGGGATAATGGTTGATCCAGCAAAGATTGAGGCTGTAATGAAGTGGGAACAACCGAAAAGTCCCACGGAGATCCGAAGCTTTTTGGGATTAGTCGGATATTATCGAAGATTTATCCAAGGCTTTTCTTCGATCGCTAGTCCATTAACAGCTTTGACCCACAAAGGAGCTACTTATGCTTGGAGTGATAAGCATAAAGAAGCATTCGAGAAGCTAAAGAAGAAGCTATGCGAGGCACCGATACTTTCTCTACCCGATGGAGTTGAAGACTTCGCTGGTTATAGCGATGCGTCTGGGGTTGGATTGGGTTGTGTTTTGACCCAAAGAGAAAAGATGATAGCATATGCGTCTCGACAGCTGAAGGAGCATGAAAAGAATTACCCGACTCATGATTTGGAGTTGGCAGCGGTAGTTTTCGCCCTGAAAATATGGAGGCATTACCTCTATGGCACAAAGTGCAAACTTTTTACTGATCATAAGAGTCTCCAATATTTCTTTAATCAGAAATAATTGAATATGAGGCAACGAAACTGGCTAGAGTTACTCAAGGACTACGACTGTGAGATACTTTACCATCCCGGTAAAGCTAATGTTGTTGCTGATGCTCTTAGTCGGAAAGTCAATCTTGAAAGGAAGAGGCCAAGAGCGTTGAGAATAAAAGTTGTCTCGACAATTGTGGAGAGTATAAAGAAAGCTCAAGAGTAAGCTTCTAATAAAAATGACCGAAAGGAGGAACGTTTGGGCAAAACATTGGTGTTTGGTACAAACGGTCATGGACTGAAGGTATTCTAAGATCGTATTTGGGTACCTAAGTTTGGAGGAATTAGAGATCTTTTGATGGAAGAAGCTCACAAAACCATGTACTTGATTCATCCTGGTAGCACTAAAATGTATAGGGACCTAAAACCCTACTACTGGTGTCCGACGATGAAGCTTGATGTTGCAAAGTATGTGGCCGAGTGTGTGACTTGTGTGAGAGTCAAGACACAACATCAGAAACCACGGGAGTTTAGAACCTTTACCTGTGCCTATGGATATATGGGAAGACATTGCGATGGATTTTGTCACTAAACTACCCAGAACAAAAATTGGTCACGACATGATTTGGGTGGTCGTTGATCGATTCACTAAGAGTGCGCATTTCATAGCAACCAATGAGAAATGGTCTATGGATAAGCTCAAAAATTCTTATGTGAAGGAAATTGTGAGGCTTCACGGTGTTCCGTTAACAATTGTATCGGATCGTGATAGCCGTTTCACCTCATGGTTTTGGAAAAGTCTATAAGAGGAAATGGGTACCAAGTTGTGTTTAAGTACAGCTTACCATCCGCAGACTGATGGTCAGAGTGAAAGAACAATACAAACACTTGAAGATATGCTGAGAGCATGTACCCTGGAATTCTAAGCTAACTGGGATGAACATTTACCTTTGGTATAATTTTCCTATAATAATAGTTTCCACTCGATCATAAAGATGGCACCTTATCAAGCTTTGTACGGACAGAAGTGTCGTACGCCATCTTGTTGGCTTGAGGCTGGGGAAAAGCAGTTTATGGGTCCCGAGATGGTCCATCAAACTGTTGAGAAGTTGAAAGTGATTAGGGAAAGAATGTTAGTAGCTTAGGATCGTCAAAAGAGCTATGCTGACAAGAAGCGAAGACCGATGACTTTTGAGGTTGGAGATTCGGTTTTGCTTAAAGTCTCGCCGTGGAAGGGACTTATAAGATTTGGTAAAAGGGGAAAGTTGAGTCCAAGGTTTATTGGACCGTTTAAAGTTCTTCAGAGGGTTGGGAACCAAGCTTACAAGCTCGAATTACCCGAGGAACTGAATGGAATTCACAACACTTTTCATGTGTGTTATTTGAGGAAG